CATTTATTTATTGTGTGTGTGTGTGTGGCCAGCTCAGCCCACCAGGGGGCGGGCTGGCTGGCATGTGCTGGAGGATCGAACCGAGGTCCCTGTGCTTTGCCAAGCTTGTTTCAAGTAGGTGCTTTAGACCACTGAGCCATCTCTACAGCCCCATCAGGCCAGTCTTGAAGTCACAACAATCCTGATCCTCCTGCCTCAGCCTTCTGATTGCTGGGGTTATATGTGTGCGCCACTACATCCAGCCCTTGAAAACTAGGCCTTTCTGTTAGCAATTATAGTTGTGTTAAAAATTCATTTGCTGCTTGACATATAATCAAGTGTAAAATAACTAAACCAGAGCCATCTGACAAAATTTTGTTCAATTTTCCCCTTTGTTAGAAAGACTATCAGAGTCAGGTTATACCACTGCATGCTTTCTTACAGGAATTTCAGCACTTCCATAGCCCATGGAGTTAGTCCTAACATCTTTTTGTTTTGCTTTAACTTTCTTTCTTTCTGTTTTTTTCTTTGAGACAAGGTCTCTCTGTGTAGTCCAGGCTGGTCTTGGACTCACGGCAATCCTCCTCCCTCAGCCCCCAAGTGCTGGGCTTGCATGCAACACCACCATGCCCAGCTCCCACCTCTTTTAAAGGTTCTGTTATTTCTTTTTAAAAATTTTATTTACTAAATGGTATGCTTTTTATTGAGATCTTTTAAGATTTTCATTTTTCTTGTTAGGCATTGCAGGTTTTAGAAATATGTTTATATATAAACAAGTATTGTCTGTGTACTGCTGGTAGAATGTCCAGTACAATGAAGAGCCCTTAGAATTTGATTTAGAAATAGGCGATCTATCAACAGGAACACTGTTTGGGGATTTTTGTATTTCTTTGAACCTAGAACTTTTGCACTGAGTTCCCTTTTTATTATTTCATTGTAAGATGCAGTCTCACTAAGAGCCAGGTTGCCCAGGTTAGGCCTGAACTTGTGATCCTTCTGCCTCAGCCTCCCAGAGTGTGAGCATTTCAAGGATACGCTACTACCCCCAGCTTAGTTTTTTAAACTTAATTTAACACAGATATTACTTAAGCCAGAAATGAAAGTAGGTTGGTTCACTAATCAGCTTGAAAACCCTCTGATAGCTTCTCACTGCAACCAGACAAATCTCTGCTGGCTTGGCCCTTGGGGTCTCCATGCCCTGCGCCCTCCCCCTTACTCCCTCCTCACAGCCAGCCATGTCACTTGCTCTCTGCCTCTCTCACTGGTGAGTCTTTGGCTGCATGTGATGACGCTGGCCAGCATTTCGTCTCCACCTCTTCCTGCAGCTGCCTTGCCTTGCTTTGCTCCGTCAGCTTTGTCAGAGGGGCCCCTTCTGCCTGTCCTCCCACCTTTACCAGGTCCCACTGAGAACCTGCAAGGACCTTATTTAACATACATATATGTATTTATTTTCTATGTGTTTTTTTTTTTTATCATCATGGAAAAAATTTATTTTTTTTCATGATAGTTGGGAAATATTTTATTATGTTAATATTGCAATTCATAATTCTACTTAAATTATATATGTGTAAGTACAGAAGAAAATACACAAATGTAATGTTGATTAGTTTTTTCCAATGAGATAGACAATGAATACTACAATTGAACCTTATAATCAGTCATCCCATGTCTTTTTCAGTAATTGTTACAAATTGAGAATTTCTACTTTTTTTTTTTTCTTTTAAGATGTAGACAGAGGAAATTTTAGAGAAATATTTCTAAAGTGAATATATAGCAGGAGATTAATAATAGATTACACAAAAACATGGAATGCTTCATGAATTTGCGTTATCATCCTTGTGCAGGGGCCCTGCTAATCTTCTCTGTATCATTCCAATTTTAGTATATGTGCTGCCGAAGTGAGCACTGTTTATTTTCTGTGGTGTTGACTACCAGGTCCCAGCGTCTAAGTCAGTGACAGATTTACAGGGAACTCTGTGATTCATCTTGATACTTTTTTCTTTTAAACAAAACTGAACAGATGCTTAAGTAGAAAGTTGATCTTTCTCTTTCTTTCTTTCTTTCTTTCTTTCTTTCTTTCTTTCTTTCGGTAAGCCATCATGAACAGTAAGTCCAGATAACTAATAGAGAAGTTAACACTGAATGTAGTTACATCTGGCTTTGTTAGAGTGCCTTGTCTGTTTTCTTAGCTGTTAATTTCACTTCAGGATCATCTCAGAGCAGCAGTTATACTTGATGTGGTACCAAGTGATTTTTTTTTTTTTTTTTTTATGTATTTGGTACAGGGTCTTACTATACAGCTTGGACTCCCCCGCACTGGGATTGCAGGTGTGTGCCACCATAGCTGGTCCTGGCGCAGCAGGTGGTGCTGGGGAGCAAACCTTGGTCCCTCCTGGTCCCTGCACTTGCCTAAGCAGGCATTTAGTCCACTGAGCTATCTTGCTGGCCCTCCAAGTGATTAAAATATATATGTGAGTGTGTGTGTGTATACATATACATATATTATATATACACATATATATATACACACATACTCACATATAATATATATATATATTTTTTTTTTTAATTAATTTTTTTTTTTTTTTTGTCTTTTTGAGACAGGGCCTCTCTTGAGGCTATCTTCCTGCCTCAGACTCCTGAATGCTAGGATTACAGGTGTATGCCACCACGCCTGGCTTAAACTTGCGATCTTTTAAGATCTGGGGCTCTACCAAATAAAGATTGAATGTATAAACTATTTTATAGCCCTACTGTAAGGCAGCATTATGCATATCCTGAGAATTTTTTTTTATAACAATTGTTAGAAGAAAAACCTCATATTCTGTTTCTTGAGCTGTTAGCATGGTAGCAAAAACAAAACACCTGATATCTTAAAAGTTATTTTTGCAAAATGTTCTTAGCTCTTTTGCCAGCTACCTTGTTTGGAGAATTAGTGTTTATCCTAGTTTATTTGGGAGAGGGATAAGGGAAGGTGAAGAATAGAGTTTTTATGTTCAGCAGTTTTAGAAAACATTTCAAAGTTGCACCTTTAAAGTATAGCCAGGCCATTCGTGTAGGTTGGGGTCACAAGCCAGGAAACGTGTATATTTTTCAGTTTCCCAGCAAGTCCTGATCTGCCTTGTCTAGGGTTCCGTGGTGTGCTGGGAGGCAGACACTCCTGAGTCCCACACACTGGGTTTAATTAGAATGTCTATACCCACACTTGTTGCTGTATCTCTATTTTTATCAGACAAAGTACATGTACTTCTTGGGTTTGGTTTGGTTTTGTCTCTGAGACAGGATCTCACTGTATAATTCAGGCTGGTCTTGAATTCACCGTGTAGCCCATGCTGACCTCAAACTCATGGCAGTCTTCCTGCCTCACCATGCTCATTTTTTTTTTTTTTTTTTTTATTCAGAGGAGTTTGTTATAAACATGAAAAGGACCTGACTTTAAACTTGGTCTCACTTCGAGTAGACCCTCATTCATAACTGGGCAGTGAAATCATCCTTACCTTGACCTTGCACTGGACATTATTTAGTAGATTTTGTTTTGGTGTTTTGAGACAGGGTCTGGCTATGTAGTTTAGGCTGGCCTTGAACTCACTGTGTATCCTGCGCTGGCTTCAAACTTGTGGTGATCTTCCTGTCTCAGCCTCCCAAGTGGTGAGATTATAGGTGTGTATCACTATGCCCAACTGAGAGATGTATTTTAAGGTTACTTATTTATTTATTAATTGGCTCTCGCTATGTAGTCCACGCTGTCTTTGAACTCTATAGCCCACACTGGGCTGGAACTTGAGATCCTCCTGCTTCAGCCTCCTGGGTAGCAGGGATTATAGGTGTGCACCACTGCACTCAGCTATGGGTTTGATTTTAAAATGGTTCAAGGGACCGGGGAGATGGCTCAGTGGAATAAGTGCTTCCCTGGCAAGCGCAAGTGCCTGAATTCAATCCCTGGTTCTGCAAAAATAAAATAAAATGGTTCAAAGGTTGACAT